ATCACTTTTCAGGTTTGGCCATCACTTCAAAGGGAAGGTAGGATTTTTGGGTTCCATTCTCATCTCTGCTCCCATATTGCTGAATGACCACAGATAGGTCAATCTTCAAGAAGAGTCAATATTCCCCACCTACGGATACCCTTGGGTCATCCCCTGGAACAGTCCATGCCTATGAGAATTGCAGAGGCTTACCATAGCCTTTCTGGCACAGAAACAATAGTGCAGTAGAGACAGATTAAGTCCTCCTTGTTGGGAAGAGAAGGACATGCAGTGATTTGAGCAGGATGCTGGATGCCAGGACTTCCTAGGCTGTACCCCTACTTCTGAGTCTATTGGCTATATGAGGATGCAAGCTTCTTGGGTTCCCTTTCTGGCTCTGTCACTATCCAGTGCTGTACTTCTCTTCTCTGTGTTGCAGTTTCCTTTGTTGAATGAGAACAGGGACACTTCCTTTATAGGTTAAATGCATTTTTGCATTTACAAGGCAGCTTTTTCTTGCATTCCGCCATTTCACTTATGCCCAGGGCTATCCCATCCTTTGGACTAATGCAGCAGTCAACCAGGGCCAAAAGAATTGAAGCAATGGCATTTGTAAAACTGATTATTGGAACACTGCCTTCTGATTGGTCACTGCAAAGTTACGTGAATGGTGGGACTGTTGGTGAAGTAGTCCAGGTTTGGCCTTGTATTGATTGGGGTGGGGGGGTCCTACAAGTCTACATGAACCATCAGTGGACCTTGGGAGTCTTGAGCCTCTGTCCTCTGCTTCAATTACTGCACTAAACTTTAAAGCCCTGAAAATATGGCTCAGGCTGAAATTCATACCTTCAGGGACAGAGGGGGGTGGAGTATGCTCATTTTTCCATTCCCTCTAAGCTCAGCTCCCAACTGTGTCTATTTGGGTACCTATTAGGTCTCTCCATGGAATCTGTCTAACCATTCTGTGACAGATGTAGATCTAGATGATACTGACGCACAGATCTATCTCTCCATGCAAGCTTTGTATAAATCCTATGCATAGGTAGTGGATTCTTTGCTGGAAAGCCTCCTCTAGGCATCCTCCAGTGCTCCCAAAGTCCAATATATCTTGTAGATGAGCATGCTGGGAAGAGTTGATTGTAAATTTCACTTTAATCTCGAGCTGGACTGCACAGGAGATGGCAAGTTCCCCCTTTCCATTGTGTTCACCTAACTGAGATGCAAGTGGGCCAAGTTTGGACAAGGAGCTGGGACTCTCAGCCAAGTCTCTGCCTAGTTAAACTCTAAACCCAAGATGGGTTGTACAGTGAGAGACTCATGCTCTTACAAGTACCAGGAGAGGCTCTGGCACCTTGACCCATTGGCTCCCAACTCAGGAGCCTTGACTTCTCCACACCTCAGCACCCTCAAACCTCAATTCCTTGGAGTCTGACTGTGGCCTCAATACCTCCAGTTCTCAGTCCTTCAACCCCTCAGTGCCAGAACTTGAATCCTTGGCACCTGACTCCTGCGCCTTGACCCCCGCCTACAAGCCTCAACCCCTCAGAGCCTGACTCTGGCCTCAGCACCTCTGGTCCTTGATCCTTCAATGGCTCAGTGCATGAAACCTCCATGACCAAACACCTCCATGTATGTCTTAACATCTTGGCTTCTGACTCTGGTGATTTGACCCTTTGGACCTATGTTGCATCTGTCTTCAGCACCTCAAATACTCGGCAACAGATTGGTGCCTAACCATTCCATGCCTCAAACCCTCAGGGCCTGACTGGCACCTAGACCCCTCCAAGCCTTATTCCCTTAGCTACTGACCTGGCGTTTTGGCCCCTCTGTGCCACATCCTCTCCAAAACTCAACCTCTCAACCCTTCAACCCCTCAGTACCTCATGCCTCCAAGAACCACGCCCCCCGATACTCAACACTTGGCTCCTTAATGCTTCAAATCCTCAGCACCTTGGGAACTGAATCACATGCCTTGACTCCACTACATCTCAACCCCTTGGCACCCAAGGGGGTGTCTCAAATTCCTCTGTTTTTCAACCCTGCAACCCTTTGGTGTTTGACTCTGGCACCTTGATCCTTCCATGCCTCAATTCTTCAGGGCCTGACTCTGGCACCTCAACACTTCAGACTCAACCCCACAAGCCCTTGGTGCCTGACTCTAGTGCTTTGGTCCTTCCATGACTCAAAACCTCGGCATCTAACTGTGATATCTTTTATTAGACCAACTGAGTAGTTGGAAAAAAGTTCTTAGCAAGCTTTCAGGGGCAGTCACCCTTCATCAGCCATAGGGAGTCTCTGACCACCAGAGCTCAGGCCTCATTACCTCCAACAGACTCTACCTCTCCCAGACTACAGGCCCCTGGCTCTGCTTCTTCACTCCCTTTGTGAGCTATGGGTCTCTGACCCTGGTTCTTGCCCCTTATGGGCTATAGGTCTCTGATGCTGCCTGCCTCATCAGTCTGTGACTGTGGCCCTGCTCCTTGGCCTTTACCCCTATCCCTTGGGCCCTAGACACACTCCTGGGTCAATTGAGATATCCACCACTCTTAGTCTCAATCCCTAAACCACTGGTCTTGCCTACCCCAGCTCAGGTGCTTGTCAACCCTTCCACTCAGAAGTTCCTCTCTGCATAGTTTCCAGGTCAGATTGCCTCCCCCATTCAGACCCTGGGCCTATATCCTCTAAGCTCAGCCTTTTCATAGTTTCATAGTTTCATAGTTTGTAGGGTTGGAAGGGACCTGAGCAGATCATCAAGTCCGACCCCCTGCCATGGCAGGAAAGAGTACTGGGGTCAAACAA